AGAAACCATGCAGGCAAAAAGGCAATGGGATGACATATATAAAGCCTTGAAGGAAAAGAACTGCCAGCCAAGAACTATATATCCAGCAAAACTGTCTCTCAAATATGATGGTGAAAATAGGGCATTTCCAGATAAACAGAAGTTTACAGAATTTGCAAAAACCAAACAAAAATTACAAGAAATACTAAAAGGAATCCTCCAGTTAGAAAATCAGTAACATCAGATAACAACCCAAGACTAGAACCCAGGACAGAGCAACCAGATATCAACCCAGACAGGGAAGTCGCAAAAGTAAATCAAAGATAAACATTGAAAATAGGGAAACAGATGTCAATATGTAAAAGATGACAACATTAAAACTAAAAAGAGGGACTTAAAAAATGTAGACATAGATTTTTCATATGAAGAGGAAGTCAAGGCGATATAAAGACACAAAAGACTGCCATAAACTTAGAAAAATAGAGGTAAATATTAAGGTAACCATAAAGGAAACTAACAATCCTACGAGTCAAAATAAAAAAACTAGAAAAATATAAAGACTCAGCAAACACAAAATCAACAACAAAAATGATACAAAGAAAGTACTTAAAGAAAAACGATGCAGGACAGAAAATTAGGTGGAACAAAGAAACTGTGAACAACACACAAAAAAAGACATCAAAATGACAGCACTAAACTCATACCTATTACGCTGAATGTAAATGGACTAAATGCACCAATAAAGAGAAAGAACAGCGGCAGATTGGATAAAAAACACAATCTGTCTATATGCTGCCTACAAGAGACACACCTTAGACTTAAAGACACAAACAAACTAAAACTCGAAGGATGGAAAAAAATATATCAAGGAAACAACACTCAAAAAAGAGCAGGAGTGGCAATATTAATCTCTGACAAAATAGACTTTAAAGTAAAACCCACTACAAACGATAAGGAAGGACACTATATAATGATTGGAGCCCTGTCGTTGGGTGCGTAAATATTTATTATAGTTACGTCCTACTGGTGTATTGACCCTTTAATCATTATATAGTGTTACACCAGTAGGACGTAACTATAATAAATATTTACGCACCCAACGACAGGGCTCCAAAATACATGAAACAGAATCTAACAGCACTGAAAAGAGAGACAGACAGCTCCACAGTAGTAGTAGGAGACTTCAACACACCGCTTTTGGTGAAGGACAAAACATACAGAAAGAAGCTCAACAAAGACATGGAAGAGCTAAATGCTACAATCAACCAACTTGATCTCATAGACATATACTGAACACTCCACCCAACAGCAGCCAAGTATACTTTCTTATCCAACGCACATGGAACAGTCTCCAGAATAGACCACATATTAGGCCATAAAGCAAGACTTAACAAAATCCAAAGCATCGAAATACTACAAAGCATCTTTTCTGACCATAAAGCCATAAAAGTAGAAATCAACAACAGAAAAAGCAAGGGGAAAAAAAATCAAACACATGGAAACTGAACAACACCTTGCTCAAAAACTACTGGGTTATAGAAGAAATTAAGGATGGAATAAAGAAGTTCATAGAATCA